CGTCTGGAAGCAGGCTGGACTTCGTTTTTAAAGCAAACAGCAAAGGGGATATCGTTTTTGGCGAGTCGGAAGCGAGCACTAAAAATAAGCGCCATTTAGTCGAACACAAGCTTTTCGGACAGGTTATCACACGATTGACATGCTCTATCGTGTAAGGCGAAAATTGCGCGCGATTTGAAAGCAATGCTAAAATAAAGAATTGCTTGTTTACAGCGCACACAGAAGCATATGACACCAAAATTGAACTGTATACATAAAAAATTATTTGCGAAAGTATTATGTAAAAAGATTTGAAAACTTATGTGAAGTAATACCTTTTCCAAAATTAGATCGTCTCCAGACGTCCACCAGACGATCTGAGATCGTCTGGAGCATATATTTTCGTCACTTCACATAAGTTTCGGATCTTTTTAGTATGGATGGATTCCCCGGTCAAAAATCTATCCCTGAGCATGAAGGCATTTTCATATCATTGCCTTTCCTTTGTTTTTTGCCTTCATTTGTTCTCGCTTTGTCAAATATCGCGCTCTAATGCCAAAGTCTTGTACATGCGTAGCATTCAGCTCCAGTTTGGATTTTCACTCTTAACTTACGTCTTTTCTTTCACACTAGTAAATCTTTCTTGTTTTCATCTTCTCCTAAGCAGGTAGGTCAAAGGGGACTTCGTAAAACTTCCGAAAGTCAGGGGAGACTTCGTTTTCAAAAACCCTAGAAACCGACTCGTGCCGGGCCCTGTCCTCTACCCAATCAAGTTCGTTATTTCTTTTGTGAGCATGGTGCGGCCGCTGGCTGCAGTCAGCTGCAATCAGTGAGACAATATGGAACAATCCAAAAACCCCGAGAACGTGAATTTGAGATTTGGCGCACAACTGAGGGCGATCTGGATTACCGTCAAAATTCCAAATTTAATTGAAAACAATCTTATAAATAAAGCTGAATGTCTGTTCGTCTGTATGTCTGTCTGTGCATATGTACATATGTTCTGAACAGAAATTTTATTTCTGAACCGATCCGGGTCAAATTTGGCACACATACACTTCGGGGCGGGGCGGGTCGTAGGCTACTTCTCGTTATTGATCGATAACGATCATAGTTTTTTATCGAATTTTCGCATAGTTCCACGTACGGGACTGTAGGTTGGCACATAGGGGTAAGTGAGCACGTTGATTAGAATACAATATCGGTTTTTAGAATTACATTACTTTTAACGATTTTATCGATTTTTTGCGAAGTCTGAGATATGGGGCTAGGTGTTGGTACATGGAAGTGAGCATGCTGATTACGACAATATCAGTTTTTGGAATTATTGATTGATTCTGCCGATTTTATCGATTTTTTTGCAAAGTTTGAGCTATGGGGCTGGGTGTTGGCACAGGGGAATAGAGATAGGGAGTTGCCATGTATGAGTGGGCGTAGGGAAAGGTTGTGGAATAGGGATGGTGACTTTTAACAAATTGTTTTGACAAGGTCGGGCGGACCCGGGTATGCCAACTAGTGAGTGCATAGCCAACACTATGATTTGCTCGCTTATCAGAGCGTTTGCAGCGTCTGAGATAAAGTCAAGGCTGGATCATGAATTACCCTATTTTCAGGTGTATAAGCCGCATCCTTTTTGCTCTAAACGCGAGCAGACCCAGGCGTGCCGCCACGCATATGTCTCGCGAAGCGGTCGCCTTATCGCATACTGCTCTCACTTAACGCGCTCCATGATGACAATCAGTCTTTTGGCGTGTTCGCCTATAGATTAAAAAGGGTGCGGCTTATACACCTGAAAATAGGGTAAGTGGAGATTGACTCATAATCAACGTCTTTTTTTTATTTCTTCTTCCAAGCGTTGCTCATGAACAATCGAACTCCTCATTGTCAGAAACTTTCATAATGTTCGAGAGATCGTTTCTTCTACTTTCTTGATTTTTTCTACTTTCTTGTGTGAGAGTCTGCCTTACCACAGGTCTTTGATCATTTCAAAATCACTACATGCTCGCAGAATTAGAGAAAAAAGGCCGCATGCATTAACATCCCCGCCGAGGAGGGGATCGCAGCTTAAAAGGCTTCATATACTGAAGCTCCAGATATCTGGATTTCATGCTGTCTACCTACCCGTAAGTATTCCTACCATCCTTCACTATGAACAACTTGAATGGGAGCGAGAAGCTTCCAGATTTTTGTATGATCCCCTGGTTATACCGAGCGGCCAATTTCCTTTTCTTCAAAATCATTTTTCTTCCGTTAGAGTTAACAAGAACCTTTCAAAGTTGTACTAAATATCTGACCCAACAGTGCTAAGCATCGCTGATAAGAACAAATGATGTAATGGAGACATTAAAATTGAGATGAACCACAGTTCCAAAGTTGGGGTTTCGAAAAATTCGATACTTTAAAAACTCATTTTATCAGCAAAATGTTTAGTACTGTTTGCTTGGACAATAAGTACAACTTTGGAATGTTTTCGCGGACTCTGAAGAAAGAAAAATGACTGTGAAGAAAAGATGGTTGACCGTCGGGGATCATCTAGGGATCATACAAAAAGCTGGAAAATGCTGCTTGTACAACTTCTGGCTCGTGTTCATTATTTCTATAGTGAAGAATGGTAGGAATACTTACAGACAGAAGGACAGCGTGAAATACAGATATCTAGAGCTACAGAATATGAAACTTTTTTGCAAGCCGTGATGGGATTTAGGCCCTTTTGAACCCTTCGCGCGCGATGCCCGTTTCAACGCGTGCGGCGCCGCTGGCAAAGCTAACAAGTCGCTCACAGTCAACGGGGAAAATTCTTAGTTTGAAGCATGTAATGTACCTGTGCCAAAGCTATCATCATGTTGGACAGAAAAGATGTAGAAAAATGATGCTTCGTCCTACTCATAACCTTGTCAAGAATAGTGGACATGTTGACCAATTAGAGGCGCGCCGTGATAGCGAGCGGTTCAAAAGGGCCGTTTCCCGCCGCGATGCCCTTCCCGGCGGGGATGTTAATGCGTGCGGCCTTAAAAAGTTAGTATACTTCCCTTTTTCTTTCTCCGTTCACCTACGAAAAACAGCCTGTTTTTTACATGTACGCGACTGCGAAAATTTCTGCTCTCAGGTGCTTTCAAGACAAAGTTTTTAGAAGATGTTGAGCCGAGAATTTCAAACTTAGCCGATAGCCGTGGATTTTTGCGCCGTATAAAATCTTAAGCGAAAGGGGACTGCAGAACTTTCACTGTATCCATCAAGAGTAAACCATACATCTAGTGTTAGGAAAATATTGCGAGTATTCTCACTTTGAAATGGTAAAAAAAATGAAATTCGCGAAAAATACTGCCTCTTTGGGAAAAAATGAGTGTTTTAATTTACTATATTCTTTCGCGAAAAAACCCGTAAACTAGACCTGCTCGTAATGTCTACCATCATACAAAATAAATTGCAGCCATAGGTTTGCTATATACAGTAATTTTTTGCGTTAAAAAAATCATCACGAACAAAGTATTGTGCTTTAAAGTTGAATTTCAGTAAACGTGTCTCATCACATGTCAAGCAAACATAAAGAATTAAAGCTCAGTTACTTAAATGCAGTTGGCAAACCAACCCGAAATCAGCGGTTTAGCTAAGCGCTAGTTCAAATCCTACATGTACAATTGTAGCTGGGTTGCTGACGCTAGATGTGTAACAAAAAGTTGAGTTCAGATCTGCTCCCATGACTGCTGAACGTTGCTCTACAAAGAGTCATAAATGTCCATAAGTCCTATTTGCCATGCTTTCAAAGATTTAGTTAAGATACGCGTAGATTGATTACTTATTCTACTAGCAAAGGCGTTTCTTTCTTGTAGTCGGTATACAACTTTAATTACGCCTTCCAAGTCAACTTAGATCACATTCAAAATTAATAACTCAATGAAACCCCAAAGATTTCACACTTTTACATGCTTATAAGCTCTCAATGAGTTTCAGCAGGTAAGAGATATAGGTGATATAGATATTTGTATTTGTTCCTGATGATGCATGACACAACTTCAGTTGCACGAACCCTTCCCATTATAGCTGAAACAGACATTGCCTTGCATCAAACCAGGCCATAGGTTACTCAAACCTAACGAACCCTTGTGGCGCAGCAGACACTGTGCATTACGAATAGTGACTTCACTTATACAGCGTCCCCGCAAGATGTAGTTGAAAGCTTTGCGCTCTGAGCTAACCGTTCCACAGTCTTCAAAATGTATCTGGAGAGCGCAAAAATGTCAAAAACGGGCTTTTACGGAAGCCCCCAATTTTGAATTCGGATGTGTGGAGCAGAGCCGCCAAGATTCGAGACGGAGTTCGTTGTAACCTATATTCATAATTGTATGCGCTATGACAGGAAGGCGGCGTCCGGAGCGCTTCCGGAGCGAACCATGCTTCGCGCTTTTTGCTACGAATGAAGGCTCCCGGGGCGAACTAGGATTCGCGCTTTTTTCGCTTTGAATTTTATTGTTTGCTCAAATGGTTTAGGACGGCCATGATGCCCCAGCAACATTCAGGTTGCCAGTACACTCCCTTTGAGAATAAAAATTGCACAGAATAAAACACCACCGAATTTCAACAGTGACAGAGAAGAGCGCATAGATGTAGCACCTTTCTGCATGACCGTGAGCTCGAGAAAAACAAATCCCATTGCCTGGAAAAGAGATTTCCGTGGATAGGCGTCAGTTTTACTTTTACTCTCACTCTCTCTCTCTCTTTCTCTCTCACTATCAGTCTCTTTCCTTCTCTCTCACTCTCAATCTCACTCTCACTCTCACTCCTATTCTCACCCTCACTCTCGTTCTCATTCTCATTCTCCCTCTCTTTTCTCACTACCTCAGCGCTAAGAGACACCATTGAAAATCAACAAGAGACTACACAGCATTACCACACCGTTTTATAATATCTGCGTAGAAAGCGAAGATGAAAGAAAGACAGCATATTAGAGAAAGTGATGGAGGAAGGACAGAATAACTTACACTTGTTCGTTTATAAATTGGACGGCACAGAAAATCAACTACCTTCTGATGTGTTTCTTTAGCATTTCCCGCAAGTTACTAGAAGGTACATCCGAGATCGTGAAGCCAGGCCATGATATGTCTCGTCCAAAATCCATGAAAATCTTAAAGCCAGCAGGTTCTTGAAGCTGATAGCAAGTGGTAAGTACTTTCTTGTGAACTTCTTCGATGAAATCGACCATTAGATCCTTATCAGCTGCTTCTACATACCAAGTCGAATCGCTACTCACATCTCTTATGGTCCACCCAAAAATGGGAAGAATGTCTGAAATAAAAATAGTCTATAAAACAGTTGCTGCGTACCTACCACATATTATCTGAATACGGTTCGCAACCCTATTACTAAGAAATGGGTGGCGTACTTTATGAACGATAGCGCGCCCTTAGGACATCATCTGTCAGTAAGGTACGCACCGTAGGCCCGGCCTCTAGCTTGGACGAGTTTTCTGCACTACAGTTTTAACACTGGTTCATGTCATACTCATTACTCTACTAAAAACAGATGGTAAGCTTCTTGATAGTAAGCTGTAAGTTTGTACAAAGCTCCTTCTAACGAGGGAAGTGCTTCCAATGGCCGTAGTCGTTTGATATGAGATGCATATTCCCTGAAGTCACATCACGAACGAGACAATACGAAGCATGATGAGGGTCGCCCCTGTCGTCAAAAAAATGCAAGAACGACGCCTACGATGGTATGGACACGTAAGCCGGCGAGACGAAGACCACATAACTGAACTGGCCATGACAGAAAGCATACCAGGAAAGAGACCAAGAGGAAGACCTAAGATGCGATGGCTAGACAGAGTCAAAGCAGATATGAGAAAGCTTGAAATCGAACAGCAAGCCTTGGATCGAGAAGAATGGAGAAAACTTACAAAAGCAGCAGACCCCGAATAACGGGAAGAATGCAAGGATAAAAAAATTCCCTAAAGCCGCTTCGAACGCTGATTTTAAATCTGCTTTCAATTTCTGCGGAACGCTCTTCTGAAGAGCGTTACGGAAGACTAAACGTCCTGTTTTGGGGCGCTCCTTGAATTCGAGAACGCTGCTATATGCGTTGGTGGCACAGTGGTGTAGTGGTTAGTTGCTGGCATTGAAGGCGAGGAGTTGACAGTTCAAATGTTCAAATCTGTTGGAGAGCGAACCATTTTGCATTTTGAGTGTGAGTTTACTAAACACTCTAAATCGTCTGCAAACACTTGCTGTAACGCCTCTAGCATATGTAGCCTAAGAGAAAGATTTTCTGATAGGGCTACCGTATCTGCTGTTCACCCTGGAAAACAACTGATTCTGAATATTCCATTCGGTGCAACGCCTCGCATACCCCTAGATGTGTACTTCTTTCCATCGAGCGATGTAAAAGCGCTTCAATTCTCATGTGGCACATAATCTTGATTTCGTCGGCAAAGTCGCGACTCTTTAAGGCTTCTGTCGCTCATATATCATCAATTCTAAGCCCCTCGTAAACATTTTTGCATAAGTCTGTGAACGGGTACTTCGATGAACATCTGGGGCATTTGAAATGGCACTCCGATACTGATTCCCCTATTAACTTGATGGGTACCTCCGAGCATGAGAATTGCGCAGAGATTTTCTTCATAAGCTGTTCCCATTGTGAAATGCCTGTGTTTTGCCCACTTAATTTCGCCTCACCTCTGTGCATAAATATTTTGCAGGGAAAAAAACCAGACCTCAACAAGCAGCAAGTAGCCTTTAGCATATGTGACCTACGAAAGTTTTCTACCAGAAAAATTTTTTCTTAGGTCACATATGTTAAAGGCATAACAGCGAATGTTTGCAGACGATTTAGAGTGTTTAGTAAACTCACGCTCAAGATGCAAAATGGTTCGCTCTCCACCACATTTGAGCCGTCAACCTCTTGCCTTCAATGCCAGCCTAGCCACTACACCACTGTGCCACCAACGCACGTAGCAGCGTCCCTGAACTAAAGGAGCGCCTTGAAACAGAATGTTCAGGCTTCCATAACTCTCTATAGAAGAGGTCTGCAGAAACGGAAAGCAGATTTACAATCAGCGTTGGAGCTGCTTCAGATGATATGCTATTCTCATATCAAACGGCCGTGGCCATTGAAAGTAGTTCCCTCGTAAGAGAAAATCCCTGACAAAATCTTGGATTGTTTCCCTTGCTGTTTTTTTAATCAACTAATAGGATACTTATTTGTCAACTGAAAAGTTTTGAAGTTTAGCTGAGTTGATTTTATGATTGACACAAGCTGACCCCAAAATGAAGATGTTCTAAGCGTTCGAAATAAATTTTATCAAAAATGCAATGGATCAAAGTACTATACAAAAAACACCGAAATCAAGAGAAAGCGGTGAATTATTCGAAACTGAAAAGATTTCAAAGATGATAAAAAATTTCAAATTTCATAAATTTTTGGAATTTATTTGAGATGCAGGCAATGATACAAGCATAAATGACGTAAAAAAGAGCCTTTCATATGTGCAAGGCATTATTACGCTATGTAACTAGGAGGGGGGGGGGGAGTGCGCCGCGTACGGTACCCAGCTGGCGACTGGCACATGCTATCGTTCATAAGGTCCCTCTCCCCTAAAAATGCTTGTATAGCCTAAAACCATCAAATCACTTCAACGTAACAAAAGTAACGGAGAGTTGTTGAGTTCATTAGACGTTGATATCAGCGTGCGTACACGTGTATGCACGCCCTGTCATTTAGCGTCTTCGTGCATTCATAGATGTGCTGTAATTGTTTCGAAAATAACCGTTTCCGGAAATGGTGATTATCGTGAAGAAGATAAACAAAACAGGAATTAGCTATGAAAACGCAAAGTTTCTTTCTCACTAAGTCGAGAAGCACGTCAAAGCCAAATCTAGTTTTTGATGTGTCCTTTGGATTTTTACCCCCGCAGTGACGTTCCTGTTTCCTGGGAGGTTGTCTGGATTGTTGCGCCTTTACTGGAGTAATGATCGCCCACACTGGAAAAAAATCTGCGAAAACAATGAAAGACAACAAGGTAAAAAACGCACTTTTTACGATTATTCGCAAAAAAAATTATAAAGAAGAAGTGAGCTCTGGGACGTTTTCTATATTGAAGGCAGGGTCATGTTCTACCGAATGCACGAAAAAACCGCGTGAAAAGTGTTAAACTAGAGAAGAAACAAGCATTTTCGAAAATACGAGTTTTCCAAATTTCTCGTTTATATTAGGTTGTCCCGAAAGTTTTGTCCGTTTTTTCAACCTATCATAAAAACGCGTGGAACGAAGATAGAGAAACGCTACAAGCACTATCCGACGCACTTTCTCCTCCTCTTTCTAACTGTCAAGCCCGCATGCCGATTAACCTTTTGTTCATTGAGATAAACGCCGAAATTTCGAACCCATGGTTTTTACTATGTCCAAGTTTGACAATTTTTCACAATCTTCATTTTCAACTATTGGAAGATCTTTGATAACCCTCAGGTAGAGTGAGCAAAGATCAATGCAAGGCAATTATTTGGCATATCTAGCTGGCTTTTCAATATTTTTGAAGATAATTTTTTCGAAAGTCTTCACTTTTGCGAAGTTCTAAAATACGAAAACGCCTCGAACACTAACAAATCATCGGATTTTGAAGCTCAAAAACCGATTACGATTATTCGCTACTAGCTGGCTTACCCGGCTCCGCCGTATGTTCAAAATAGAAAATTCCATTTCTTAACCGATCCGGACCAAACTTGGCACACATACACTTCGGGCCCCGGCGGGTGTCACAGTCCACTTTTCGTTATCGATCGATGTCGATTTTATCGATTTTTTGCAAAATTTGAGCTAGGGGCTGGGAGTTGGCACAGGGGGGTAATCGAGCATGCTGATCACCCCCGTGGGGGTGATCAGCAGTGCTCCGTATCCGTAGCGTGATCCGTAGTGTATGTGTGCCAAGTTTGGTCCGGATCGGTTCAGAATGGAATTTTCTATTCGGAACATACGTACAGACAGACATACAGACAGACAAACAGACATTCAGCTTTATATATAAGATTTTTACGAAGCAAATGAGCGTTTACCGCTTCGAAATATGAGATTTTGCATTTTACGTGTACACGCTGGGGTGGGGTCAAATTCAAGAATTATGAAAATTTTATCGACAAGGACCTCGCAAATTGGAAAGAAAATATACTCACTGGAAAGAGGAGGAAAAGCTGCATCGAATAACACCTTAGTTGTGCGCCGTTTCATGATCTCTGGCTTTTGGCATCACCAAAAGTGAAATTTGATAGCATCAGAAAAATAATTCTAAAACATTTTCAAGGCTGGCTATAGATGCCGCAAAATTGCATTATATTGCCCTTTGTTTGCTCTATCTAATTGTTGCCAAAGCTTTTCCGAAAGTCAAAAATAAAGATTGTGAAAAATTGCCAAACTTGGACATAGTAAAAACCATGCGTTCGAAATTTCGGCGTTTATCTCAGTGAACAAAAGGTTAATCGGGATGGAGGCATGATAGTTAGAAAGAGAAGGAAAAGATGCGTCGGATAGTGCTTGGAGCGTTTCCCTATCTTCGTTCCACGCGTTTTTATGATAGGTTGAAAAACGGACAAAACTCTCGAGACAGCCTAATACTTTGAAAAAATGGAGTTTTAGTACGTTGCTAACATGAAAATAGAGATTAAGAGCCTTGATATGACCAGCAGTTTTCTACAGCTGGGTTCAGAACAACGAGGAAAGCTGTACCAAAGCCAAATGCCCCATGCCCCGAGTTCGGGGTAGCGAGGCAGCGCGAAAAATGGAAACACTGTCTGTAGCGCATGCACGCGCTGCTTACGTCGTTCATTGCGGGTTTGGCGTCGGGCAGCGTGTAACTTCTGCGACCGCTGTGATTCGTTTTGGGCGGCCAAGAACCCTCCATTTTAATGACTGATTTTCTCCTGTTTACTCTTCTTTAGCAATCAGCTTCCAGAAGGTCATGGTATTCAAGACAAATACAAAAACGAAATCAACTCCCTTGTTTTTCCCCAGTTCTGAACGGCGAATTCGGAAACGAAAACCTGTAATTTTATATATAAAGCTGAATGTCCGTTTGCCTGTATGTCTGTACAGGGTGCGCCACAATTATTTGCGCGTGTATCATTAAGCGCCATACGAACATATGACCGGCTCAGCCAGCGCTCAAACTTGATATTGTTTTCTTGGTTCTACAACATTGTATCCTAGTTGAAAAAGGTAAAATTGCCTGTTTTCCTTTTCGGTAAAAATTCATAATATTTCTCTGACTTTGTCGCGTGTTGCACGCGGTTAGAGGCCCA